AAGTGCCTTACATACTTGAACGGTCCTTATTTCAATGCAGATATTTGTCGGTTTCATAGGTTCATGGCCAACCACACCAGCGAACATCCCGAGGGTTTTCTCGGCCCGGAGGTCCTGAAATCCTTCTTCTCGGTCACGGAGGACGCCTACGGGAACTTCAAGTACGAGTACGGCCACGAGCGGATCCCGGACAACTGGTACCGTCGCGCCGTCGGGGACGAGTACAATATCCCGTTCTTCCTGGATGACTTGGCGGCCGCGGCCAGGAAGCACCCGGAGTTCCTCTCCATCGGTGGCAACACCGGGAAAGTCAACTCCTTCGTCGGGGTCGACCCCACGAACCCCATGGGCAGCGTCTTCAACGCCAAGAACCTCGCCGAGGGAAACAACTTCTTCTGCTACTTCTTCTCGCTGATGCAGGCCTCGCCCAACGCCAACGAGTACTTGCAGATTCACCCAATCGAGTCTACGGCTAAACACTTCAGCCAGTTTAGCAGTTTCGCGAGCCGCCTCAACTGCCCGCAGCGCGAGCGACTCGACCCGGACGCCTTTGACAAATACCCGGGTTACACGAGGATCGGCTTCCCGGACCCGGGAGTCGTGTTCAAGTACATGGAGAAGTTCAACTGTTCAACCCGACCGATGGAAGATAAAGCCAAAGACAAGAAGCGAAATGATGGGAAGTATTCATAGGTGTTTCTTGAATACACGGAGAAAAAAACTTCGTGCGTGGGACCCGAAGTTGAGGTCATATGGATCTCTGAAGTTTCCGGATCACGTATCTAATAACTTGAGGTCCAGCTGCCGAAATTCGGCTCAGACATCTGAGGTACTTCGATACATACCGAAGGGATCGGGTCACACATCTGAAGTTCTCCGGTACAAACCGAAGTGCCTCGATGTCTGACCCGAGCTTCGACAGCTCGACCTCAAGTTTTTAGATACGTGATCCGAAAATTTCAGAATTCCATAGGACCTCAACATCGGGTCCCACGCACAAAGTTTTTCTCTCCCTTGAGAGTCCCGTGTAGAGTTCCTTTATACCCTGAGTTACGACATCTCAATTCTGGTGTGATTGGGCTGAAAGTGGTCCAAAAAAATCCAATTCTAATTGGTTCTCGCTCATGGAGTTACAAAAGAAAACGCCAAGACGGCGGTGGCTCGAATGCAAACAAAAATAATGAAAAATAATTTTGATTTTTCAAGAGTAGATTGTTATTTTCATCGCACCAAAATGAAAATAAATTCAGAAATCATTCAGAGATCAATCTCATTTTATTTAATTGCAATTTCTTCGGTTGGGTTTTGATCAGTTTTGTTGATGGTGCTGTTTTTGGACCACAGACATTTCAGGATTCCATACTTGTCCAAAATAATACTGCTATTTTTTTTAATAAAAAAATAAAAATGATTGAATTATCGAGTATATGTGGTAACTTTTTTCCTGTTTGACCTCTCGTTACGAAATTTTGAAGCTTACCATTACCCACACTCCGTCATGAAACATTCCTGATAATTGGTTACGAAATTGACGTTTTCTTGTTCATCAACCTACTTTTTGACCCTCACACCATTGACACAAGATGACGTAACTTCTTTTTCATCATATTTCAAGTAACCACCCTGAAATGCTCGATGAAAGCTAAATTACGATCAAATGCGTCTGAGGCACGAATTAGTCAGTTCCAGCGTGTTCCAGAATCGTGCATTTGCAGTCATAGAATAAAAAACTGCAAAAATATTGATACTTTAAGAAAAAACCGAGTTATTACTTGCAATGTTAAGAACGGCGAGGATATCACTGTGGAAAAACAGGGCGAATCCATAATTTTCTTTCACCTTGGTTGCGACTCGGAGCTATGACTCTACTTGTGGCCTTCATATTCTCAGGCTCAGCAATGCCCATGTCATATGCGTCAGTCGATGCTCACAAGTAACAAGTCCAAAAAATAGAAAACAACAAAGTTGACACAGAATTCGGAGAATTAAATTCCTCAACTATTTCCCTGATTTTCCTGACAATTTTGGTGAGATTCTCTGACAGTTGAACAAATACCAGATTTTTAAAAAGACATAGTTAGAAATACTTTCCAGGCATTTGTTGTCCGAAACGTCAAACCACTCAAGAGAGCAAATAAAGGTGATTTGACGATTATTCCCTGAAATTTTCGTTATTTTTCCTGACATTTCCAGCTTTTCCCTGGATTTTTAAAATTCCCTAACATTTCTCGGTATTCCCTGACTGTGGAAACTCTGGAACAAGCTTTTCTACATTTCCTTTGCCTTGTTTAAAATTAATAAATGTTATCGAAAAGTCAATTTTTTTTCCTAACGAAAAATTATCTTTTCAGGCCATTCCATGCCCAAACCTATCCCGTTCAAGATTGAATTTTCTGAAAAAAAAAAAAAAATTAAATTTAAACGGAGTGTTTCAACAGTACATAATTGTCTTCACATCGGACATAATGAGGTCTGATTAAAAGAAAACCTGAACATACAATATTTTCACACAAGGAGAAATAGGAATTCTCGGAAATAATATGAGTAGATTGAGTTCAGTAGACGTTTTCCAATTTAACGGACTAAAATCTCAACTCCACTGGCCAACCTGATCGACTGACAACAGAACTCCACTTCGGATAACCGAAGTTCTTGGTTAAAAGAGCCGAAAAACTTAGAACATGTAATGAAAACTTTAACCAAAGAGCCGAAAAAAATCGAGCCGACTAGCTATGAATTTATTTCTTTGAATCAGAGAGCGGATATTACACTCCAATAGTTTACAAAACCATGGCTCTTCCTCCGTGATAAAGGGACAAGAACGTTCAAAATAGAGTTAGTGCTGCACAAAACCGGTTTCCCTCATTGAAATTTACTTCATGAAGTTGTATTCGGAAAGAACGAACTGGGATAGCGATAGTGACAAACATGAAATCCCCATGACCCCAATAAATAATGAATGAACTAAATGAAACAATGAGGGGGAAAACGCGGGAAGTTGATGCAATTACGGGGAAAATATTGAGGTAGAGAAAAAAATTCATAAATATACATAAATATGTATAAATATTCATATTTCTCCGGTTTTCCTCGAGTTTAAAAATCGAGTGGAGGTCACGGTTACTCGAATAAAAAATAATGTTGGGTTACATGGGTTCTTGGTTGAGTGTAATCTCCAGGAATTTCGGTAACCATTACTAAATTTCTGTCGGTGTTGATTATTCCTCTGGCTACGTTTATCAGCAGCGTGAAAAGATCTTTTAGAAATCAAGTGCTTACCATATTCCCTATAAGGATCATATATTATCAGAATTCTATAGATTTCCTGCAGATCATAATTATGAGGGTCACTAACGAGCTATCGGCATACGCACGCCGCTTAAACACAGCTGAGATTGTGGAACTTTTCTTTAAGATTTAAAAAAAATAATTGATTGAAGCCGGACCCCGGTCAGATATAATAATTCATTGTTCTTTTTTTTAATAGACATGAAACTAGATTCTTTTTTTGTTAGTTTTGGTCCATTCAATACCCAGGAAATCGATAGATCAGTTACAGTTATTGCAAGAAATACAAACGCGTGTACATCTACCAGACTTATATGAGCCCTGACAGACATCAGGTCGTAAGGGGAAGGAGGGGGCTTCTGAATTTTCTGTAGCTCAAAATAAATAAGGGGACCATTTTGACGTAACAGCGCGCGTCAACGTCATTGAGATTGTGAATGCGATTTGTTATTGTTAAAACCACCCAGGGGCACCTATGTTGTAAAAATTTCTACCTTATGTGGAATGACATAAGAAGCAGATTTTATGCAAATTATAAGAGGGCCATTATGTTTCTCTGTCGTGTGAATTGTTAAAAAAACACACGATTTCAGCGATTATGCTGTCTTCAGGGTTGCCACAGAATTTAGAAAATGGAATTTCCTGACATTACCCTGGCATATTTTGGTGAGATTCTCTGACAATTGAAAAAATACCAGATTTTTAAAAAGACATGGTTAGAAATACTTTCCAGGCAAAATTTGTTGTTCAAAACGTCAAACCACACAAGAGAGCAAATGAAGGTGATTTGACGATTTTTCCCTGACGTTTCCAGGTTTTCCCTGACTTGTTAAAATTTCCTGACAATTCCCGGTTTTCTCAGTATTCCCTCACTGGGCGACGCGACCCTGTGTCTTGTTGGGAAGGTCCTCATATTTGGACGAAAATACAAGGTGATCCAGGGTTAAACGGCCAGACTGCAAAAGCGTGTTCTATGGGTCAAAATAAGACTTTTTTGTTGCATAAAGTTTTTTCCAAAAGCGCCCCTAATTGGAGCTACGCCCCCCCCCTCCGAAATTTCGGAAAGTAAAACGTTCTTCCTAAATTTCGGCAACGGTTGTGAACCAAATCTCATGAAAATTTGAACTCCTCTGAAATTTTATGCCCTGAATTTATAGATTATCTAAAAAAATTAAAATCTCAATTTAAAGAGGGGGATCGTGGGTGTTTCGGCTCCAGCAGTCTAACCGTTTAACTCTGGATCACCCTGTATAACAAAAAATTATATTATTTTTCCGGAAAAGATTTAAAATATTCATTTGTACAGGAGAAAATGCAGGCGCTTCTCCATTGATGGAAACAAAGGAGAGGATAAATGCTTGATATTTTTTCTTTCCTTATATGGACGAATTTATGCTAAACTGAACTATGTGCTTAGGCATTGCGTTTAACGTAGTTCCTTTTGGCATGAGTACGTCCAAATGTAACCAACTATGGACAATTTGTTTGTTTGACAATGAGATTCAACGATTGTAGGTAGATAATTTCATGTTTTTGAAGACAATGGCACTGCAGTTGACCTAGAACATGGTTCTGGGAGTAGGTTAACTGATTTGGCAGAAAAAAAAATTATCGTTCAACGTCTTTCCTGTTTTGGCAGAGATATATTGTTACATTATCTCATAAGACCTTAACACTATTTCAAAGTTTCCTCTTCCTTTAAATAAATACTTCCTGTTCTCTTATCTTTCAACGTATCGCATCCATCAGTCAAACTCGGAGCGCAGAGTAGTCAAGTCTTTTCGGAAAATTATCAAGAGAAGGAAATACAATTTTTCGGATTGCGCCCACCTATGAAGACAAACAAGCCTGTTTCCAGTTGACCAGTGATCATTTTCCAACTCTTGCAACGAAGAGTACGTTCTATTCATAGTTCTGCTGCCTCCACCATTACCTCTTAAAATTGGTAGGTCTAAACCTCTGCACTGCTAAGATTAAGGTTTGATTTTACAGTAAAAAAAAAAAAAGGGTTCGCTTTTGTAGGGGCTGAAAGTAATAAAATCATGTATGTGCAAAGTCGCTATTACGGCGTGCTAGGGCGCTCTGCGACGAAAACCCGCTATAGGAATTTGTCATGTTAGAGATCTTCCGGAAGCTGGCATATCTCCATCTCTTGACGAAAAAACTCTTGAATGAATCATAACAGTCAAAAATATTAATGAACGGGAATTTTCCTTGTCTTAAACTGTGTTGGTCACAGATTCGCCTTTGGACCGTCAAATTTTATGATTTCACAACTGCTAATGACATCTGCAAAATCGCGAATCTTGCTTTGGGTTCCGACGCTCAATATTTTTTCCGTTTTACTACCTTCACCATCACACACATCCCGGGTGCATAAGATCTAGACACACACATCCCGGGTGCATCAGATCTAGACGTGAACGTGCCGGAGGAAGAATGGTGCACAAGACGCGTTCACTCGTGTTGGACACATAATTTGCGTAAGCCCTGTCAACACTACTAGTAAAAGTTCACGGAACTTCCTCTGTGGAGACAAGGCCTTTCATTTGTAAGAAATGAACTAAAAAATTAAGACAGAACAAACATAAATGTGGTTTAATAATTTTAAGTTCCGCCGCCGTGCCGCGCTGATCACACTGTATTTGGCGCAATGCGTGAAGTATTCATGTAGTCTTGTAGGCACTGTGCGTTTCACGCCGCGCCGCGCCGACCGCTGTTGACTGTACTGTGTTTGACGCAATGCGTGAAGTATTCATGCAGTCTCGTAGGCGCTAATATGTGTTACATGCCGACCGCCGCGTCGAGGGCTTCTCCTTTTCATCTCAAGTCCTCGTCATCATTTCTCTTTGCGCCGCGTCGCTCCAGGTCAAATTACGTGTTTGGTTTCTCTCTTAACTCAACTAATTAAAGGTGCGCAGTCTTTTGTATCACCGAAATACGACAAAATTAGAAATTAATGAACTCCCAGGAAATGAGAGATTTTGTTATCTTTTCTTGTTTGTAATTGTTTTCTGAATCAGATTTTTTTGTACCTACATTTAAATGTCATATGACCCACTTTAAAAATCCGTTTCAGGGCATTTTCCTCAGCACTCCGATATCTGGGGCAAACATGAAGGTCCTGATCAGTTTACTTCTGAACGCAATCATTGGTCAGGCACAGGTGCTCGAAGTGCCCTTCAATCCTAAGGTCCAGTTAGTGAAGAATACGGGAGAGCATGCCTTCGTGGCCCCCAATTTCGCGGCCGGAGACCAACGCGGCCCTTGTCCGGGCCTCAACGCCATGGCCAACCACAATTACATCCCGCGTAACGGTGTTGCCACCGCAGCACAGTTGATCGAAAGCTGTTTTAGGGTAAGAAATTCGACGTAGAATGGGTCAGTTGCGCTAGTCCCAGTTTTTTTCTTTCTTTTTTGTCAAGAGAAATTATTTATTCAATAGATAACAAGAGATAATACATACATAGTTATTCCTAAGTACAAATAGTTAATTAATTAATAGTAAAGTAGTCAAGAGTTAACTTCCCGAGACACGGCGGAATTACCACAAGGTATATCTTCGGCTGGAGGGGGGGTTGGGGGTTGGTGAGAGGTGGATTTTGATAAGGGGGGGGGGATTTGGTTGTGGCTAGTCACAGTTGTGTTTTGATGTTTTATTCTTGTTAATCAGGTAAAAATAATAAGATCTGTCAAAAGAGCAAAAAAAAAAGAAGCTGAGGAAATATTAGATCCCTCTGATTGATAAATATGGCTGGGACACGTTAGCAGAATGGAGGAGGAAAGAATGCCGAAGAGAATCAAGAAAGCCAAAGTTTTATCGAAGAGAAAGAAAGGAAGGCCAGGGCTAAGTTGGCAAAATGGGGTAGAGAAAGATCTGAGAGTAATAAGAGTGATAGGATGGAGGGAAAAGACCATGGACAGAGTAGGATGGAGACGCGTCGTCTTGGGCTAAAGCCCACCCCCGGCTGTAGCGCCACTAGTAAGTAAGTAATTGATAAATACTGAGGAGAGGAATTTGAGAAATGAAGATAGGACGGTAAAGGACGATAATGACGGTAGGATGAGGAGAAGAGTATGAAGAAGAGAAGTAGGTAAGAAGAGTTGACATAGGTACGAAGACGGAGAAGAGGAGAAATGAAAATAATAACTTATCTCTCTTTCGTATCCGTCTATCACTTCTTAGGTCCGTTTTTCTTCATTCTCTTACTTCCTCCTTCTTCCCTTATTCTTCTTCTCTCGTTTCTTCTCGTTCGTTTGATTTTAGTGTAAGCGCTTCTATCCGCCTTTAGTTAACAATCCTCAGATAATGCACACGTCTTTTAGTTTCAATGTGTATATGACTAGTTTAGCTTAGCTCAATTCATTTTGCACGGAGTTAACAAGTTCTCTAGGATTTCAAGGTTTTCTATCTTAAAAATTTCACGAAATGTAACGAAAATTCAATAAATGTTTGTAAATTCTGAGTTTGAATAGATACTTCATGGAGGACCGAATCAATGGGAGAGGTCGAACACGAATTTTTTTTTCAAAAAATGCAAATTTAGAAGTTTATTTCGTCTTTTAAATTATGAGGGGTGATTCTTATAGAAAAGTTGACGAAAAAAGTAATGGGACCGTTTGTAAGTCCTCAAAATTTTGTAAAAACGGAGTTGTGATCTTTTAGAGTTTCCCAATTTTGTCCGACCTCTCGCATTGACTCGATCCACAGTGCGCCAGAAGAAAAGCCGACGAGGGGAGGTTTAACTTAACATGAAATGAAGGAGCGCCAACTCTGTAAAGGGCTGTGGAAGGACAGAGCACTCGACCGGTTAGGTATCGCACAACGCCAACCTGCGGCCCGATTATTGAAATTCATAGACAAAGCAAAAGACGAAGAAGACATAGGGAGTATGAAGCTATCCTATTGGTTGAAATGATTGGCTCTCATAGACTAAGGGAGAAAATGATGGACTGACTTTCGGGTCCCTCGGGGGTTGCCGTTACTTAGTCTATTACCTGCCTCCTTTGTCCATTGTAACCACTCACTTCCACCAATAGGATCCCTCCAAATCCCTTTTGTCTTCTTTGTCTATAGCTTTGTCTATCAATTTCAATCATCAGCCCGCAGCTCTGTAAAAGCGGCTCTTGTATATACGAAGTTTAAAAAGTTCATAGGTTCTCTGAAAACCTTTTTCACATGAGATTCTCCGTGTGACACTAAGAAAATTCACAAGATGACCTTTCATTTTTTTTTCAATTTCTGCTACAAGGTGTTCGGGCTCGGAAAGGACATAGCTGGTTTCCTAACCGCGTTAGCGATTGTCACTGCCGGGGCTATTGTGAACCGCACGGCCATGGTCAGTATTGGGAAGGCAACGCCTCAAGTCCGCGCTCAAAGCTACGAACCGAGTGGTCTCAGTGGCACCCACAACAAGTACGAGTCGGACGCCTCGCCTATGAAGGGCGACCTTTATCAATACAAAGACGCAGACAAGGTTCTATTACCAAACTTTAATGCACTTTTAGCCCATCGGCATAAAAAGAAAGCTGAGGAATCAGTGGATCCCTTTAATTTTACTTCAAAATATTCGGAGCAGAGCAACTGCGGGCTGCACCGGAAAAAAAAAAACAAGCAGAAAAATCCAACATGAATATGTTGGAAAAGCGTGCCGAATAACTAAAATATTGGACACATACCTACTATTTTCACGTCTTTGTTATTTGCATCAATTGGTACTTTTTGCTAAATTTGGGAGAAAATATTGATTCATGAACGTTGAATGTAAATTGATTTTAGAGATTCCGTCCAATTATCTTGATTTTAAGCTGATATGCGGCATTTCGCACGACCGTGATTTGGGCGAACTGCCGTGCATCGAAATCGCGTTGAGTTAATCTCTTTGGATTTCGAACTGTAACTTCTCTCCTATTCGGCCGATTTTTACAAATGAGGTCTCTTTTTATATGTACTTTAACGGAAAGTAAGGAAAATCTCCCTAAATAGACGGAAAACAATTTTTGTGAAAATTTGGTGGATCCTGGCGTCACGGTGAATCGTTAATCGGGCGTGGAAGATATATAATAGGTTCGACGAGCCGACCCTCTCCTCGCCGTCTTTTATTGCCTTGCTCGAAACCTGACACCCAAAGCTAAATCGGGAGATAACTGCAGTGGTTTGAGTGGATTTCTGCAGGGGCCACGGTTAGTACCTACATGGTATAAAGAGTCACGAGGCTCATCACAGATTGCACTTGCAGTGCAAGACGCTCATTGGCTAAACAGTTTTGGCGGGAAAGAAGGTTCTAGAGTTGAGTCCTCCGAGCGTAAGAAAGCTTCTATGAGGTTTTTGTCACATGAAATAATACGGTTTTGACAGGAAAATGTTCTCAAGGGTTCCCAATTAGCAGTTCATTCGGTTTTTTGGTAAGAGACCATCAGGGCTTGACAGTATAATGGTTCAAAGACAAGAAAACTGGTCCGAGGAAAAAAATATTTGGACGGCCCGTTGAATAGCATTGGTTGATCGGTGTGCTGTACTATGGTACATCCGAGTGATTTCAAAAAGTGAGCCCTACTGGCACGCTTAAAAAAACACATTGAAACTAGAGTTCAGACTCTTGAAAACATTGACAAGAAAAAGGGCTCTTGTTTCAATCAGATTTAAGCTTAAATCAAAAGGAAATCCGCTCAAATTAAGAGGCTTGGTTCTTGATTTAAGCTTAAATCTGATTGAATCAAGAGTATTTTTTCTTGTCGATGTTTTTAAGAGTCTGGACCCTAGATCCAATGTGTTTTTTTCCAGTGTGATTATACTGAAACTGATAAACGAGGCGATAGACAAAGAGGACATAGGGAGTGCGGAACAATCCCATTGGTTGAAACTGATGGTTCTTCCAGACTAACAAATATTTAATATATTTAAGTGCTGTTTTATGTCAGCACTTAAATATTAATAACTGTATTACTTTATGTATATATTATTCTTGTAAGGGGGAAAATGATGGACTCACTAAAAGGTCTCTCGTCGGTTGTCGTTAGTTAGTCTATTACCTGCCTATATTGTCTATTGCAACCACCCGATTCCGCCAATAGGATCCCTCTAAGTCCCTTTTGTCTTCTCTTTCTATAAATTTCAATAATCGGCCCGGAGAATTACATTTTCCGAGATGGAACCACTGCTTCCTAGGATCCATTTCCGGAATAACACAGTGGGTCAATTGTGCTGGTCACATAATCGTGCTTTGATGCTTGATCTTGAAGATTAGCTAAAAATAATAACATCTGCTGTCCAAACAGCAACTTTCTACGGTCAACATCAACCGAATTATTGCCCTTTGACAATTCGGTTCGTGACGTCATCCACCGCGGAAGTGACAACCTCACTTTCTTCCTCCTTGATTTTATCCGTCAGGGAGATACACATTAGCACTGGTTACTCAACGTGAAACACGAATGAAAGCAGGGTGGAAGAAACCAAGGGTGTTACTGCCGCATTTGATGACGTCATAAATGGAATTTTTCATAGCGCCATATCTTGGTTCAAGTTGAACGTATAACTTTGTCGCTTGGACAGATCTTATTAGCTTTCTCAATTGTCCTTCTTACCGCGTGCCCGCTTCGCGGGTCTTTGGAGGCGCCAGAACCCTCGGGGTTTTGCCGCGTAGCGGCCAGGGGGCGGAGCCACCTCGTTAGTATTACTTCCAGATTTTCGGACCAATAGAGACCCTGCTCCAATGTTGTTGCACTTCACCAATCCCCCCCCCCTTTTGAAAATGGTAAAGGTTTCAATTTGCCTTTCTTTTCAGCTCGTCTTGAAGCAGTTGGAAAATTTCCTGAGCCGATCGAAGAACAACGATTACACCTTACGCGACCTCTTCGATTTTCGATCGTACCGCATCGACGAGAGTCTCCGCGATAATTGTTATTGCTACTTCGGACCGATCTCTTTCAACATAATAGCGGCAGGCTCGCACACCTTCATCTATTGGCTCATGAGCAATAAATCCAAGAAGCGTCCTCGAGGCCGTCTGACAGAGGAGGACATCCTCTCGTGGTACTCCGTCGTCGGGGAGAACCCTTTTGGGCGAGCTTTTGTTGAAAAGAGAGGTATTTTGGGCGAGAATGAAATCAAGTTGGGCGAAAATGAGGGAGGTTTTTTGGGCGGGTGGCCGAGTCACCGAAATACCGTGAATCTGGCAGCTATGCCTGCCGCAGAAAGATGAGCATGTGATAACGACGAAGGAGACTGATTTCGGGTAAACAGAACGGAATGNAAAATCATAACTCCGGTTCAAATCATCGTAAAGGAAAAAATAAAACGGGAAAATTTACCAAATTGTGTCCGCTTTTAAGTAAAAATTGCAAAAATCACTTCGATTTAATTTTAAGGGGGGGCTCGGACCCTACTATTGGCTCATGAGCAATAAATCCAAGAAGCGTCCTCGAGGCCGTCTGACAGAGGAGGACATCCTCTCGTGGTACTCCGTCGTCAAGATAAACGGGGAATATATCTATACTCCCGGCTTCGAGCGCATCCCTGACAATTGGTACTATGATATATAATATCGATGGCTACACTGAAAAAAAAATCTCGGTGTGTTTACTAAGAAATGGGTAAAATGGGTCACTAAACCTTGTTTATTTTATTGAATATTCTGAAAGTACTATGTGAGTAGATAACGTGGTGATTTTTCCGCATTTTCATGGAGCCGAAATCGCGGAGAAAACCGCTTTTGAAAAATCTAAAAACTGCAAGACATTTCAAACGCACCCGAATGGCGGGAAATAACTGACGGTGTTGATGTACTGCGGTAGTCATACCGCAGTCTTCTCTCATTTTCCCCTGATGTTTGTTAAAATAAAACGAATTTCAATGTGGAATTGTTGCTTGTTTATTGCAGCTAACATCTGAATGAGATTCGAGTTTTGAATTCAAAAGATATAATATCGATTTAAGTATTGTTCTCATATACGAAGAGTAGATAGACATTTGACTGACGTCGTGGAAACCCGTGCCCGCTTCTTATCGGTGCCGGATGACATCATTCGGTGCGGCGCGAAACCGGGGCGTTTTAAATTTGCGTATAAGTTGAGCGATTTGAACTGCGCATTTCTCGGTTATTGAGTTAATTTTTTGCGTTTTTAATGTGCACATCGTGTTCTATGCGTCATTTTCCTTCAGAAAACTATATTCGCAAGTCAAAATTCGTTCATGGTTTAGTGACCCATTACCAAGAATTCAGGGTTCTATTTGATCCCAGTTTTTTTCCTAGTAAAATTACCATTTATGGAATTGGTAATTTTACCGAGAAATCTCGGTATAATTATTGAACTTTCTCGGTAATTTTACTGGACTTTAGTAAAAACGCCAATATTTTTTATCGACCGTGGTAGCATTACCGAGATAAAATGGCAAAGTTACCAGGAATTGATTACCAATAAAAGTGGTATTCTTACCTGGGAAAAACAGTAAAAATACCGGTTTTTAGGTAAGTTTACCAGTCTGTCTTGGTAAAATTACCAATAATTGGTAAAAAAAGTGAGATGGTAAAGGTACCAACGGACCTTGGTAAAAACGGCGGGAATTTTTTTTCAGTGCAATTCCACCTATACTTCCTAAGACTTTCAAGGAAAAATATTCATAACTTTCCTCAAAAATAATCATTTCATCGAAGGAAATCTGGCAACTCTCGAATTTTCATATAGCGTTCTTCGTTAGCACGGCAGAATGCACCTGCGCACTTCTCGTTGAAAATTTTTCTTATTTTCATATGATATCACAAGAAAACGGGTGACATTTACATTTGGAATTTCTCAAAATTCTCGTAGAAAAAAGTGCAATGGAGAATTTGCACACAAAAAATGTATTGCTTCATCTGAGATTGCTTACTGAGCTGAGTTCATAGTACTTTTTTATGATTTTTTTCTGACATGGGAAATTGGAGAAAAATAGATTGAAAATTGAGCAAATGTGCCGTCTCATGACGTCATCTGGCGGCATTTTCCATTTGAACACATGTATTTCAGCAGATTAGATTATTTTGTTTTATTTCCTCTAATAATTGTCCAATTTAGAAAACCAAGGATATCCTCGTACTCAGTTTTCCTAACAGTATCATTTTGAAGATGAAATTTACAAAATTTCAGACACACTCTATTGACCCATTCATTTGAAATGACTCTACGGAAACTTATTTTTTCATGAATCCTCCACAGGTATAAACGGGCCATAGGCGACGAGTACACCATCCCGCTTTTCGTGAAGGACGTGCTGGTGGGTGCCAGTATATACCCCAAGTTCTTCGCCCTTGGGGGCAACATAAACTGCTCTTTCGTTGGCCTCAGAGCCGAGAACCTCACCGGTGGCGTGTACAATTTCGAGACTCTCAGCGAAGGCAACAATTTTTACTGCTTTTTGTTGCTCACGTCACTCCAGCTGCCGGATTTCCTCCAGGGTGCCGGGAAGGAACTCGCCCGGCTAGCCAGCTTTTTTGCCGCGTTCGTCAACAATTCCACCCGTGACTTGAATTGCCCTCCGTTGACCCGATACGACCCTGTTTCCATGCGAAGCCAGTTTGCGAAGTACCCCGGATATATGAGAGGCATGGGCATGGATGAAGATTTACTATCTCTTTTCGGCTTGTGAATAGGGGTGACCGTGTCATCACGGAAAAAATTAAAGTGCTGATTCAACAATTGGGTAGTTTAAAAAAGTGTCCGACATGTGACATAGAACCAACCCCGTGGTTAAATTAGCTTCCCACTTTTGTAAAATGTACATTTGAAACAAGTCGGTCATATTCTTTTACAACAAAATTGTTTGATCAGCAATCTATTTTTTCCGCGTGCAGCTCGGATAAATTTTCAAAGGAGGGAGGGTAACAGAAGTGTTCCGACATGTGACATAAAACCACCCCAGTGGTTAAATTAGCTTTACACTTTTGTAAAATGTACATTTGAAACAAGTCGGATATGTTTGTTTACTACAAAATTGATAAATTAGCAATCTTTTGTTCCGCGTGCATCTCAGATAAATTCTCGAAGGAGGTAGGGGCATTTTTAATGCCATGACTAGAGATTTTTCCCCCGAAAGTCAATTTCTAATTTCTTTCTTTCTAGTGAGTCCGATTGAAGACAAAAAACTGAACGTATATTCATGCTAAAAGGAACTTATAAGTGAAACGGAGTCGGAATTTTTAAGGCATCAAAAACTTTTGTGTCATTCTGGAGTCGTTTATAAAGAGACGAATAAAATTAAAAATTAAAAATTACAAAATAATGAAATCCTCAATTACACGACACCGTAGCGGGTGAACGAACTAATGATAAAACAGAGAGCATTCTGCCTGTTAACTCTGCAAGTTATGAAAGGGAAAGTCGAAAATGCGTTTTCCTTTTGTCCCAATTCAACATGAAGCAAAAGCTAGAGAAAGGAAAACATATCAGGCTACCGCGTGGATACTGGTTGTATGCGAGATAAATTAGAGCGGAAAAATCGCGCATTGATCACTCACATTCACCTCCGAAATGACTGATGCAGGGGATGCGTACTTAGAAAAGCTGCGATGCTCATGGAAAAGTAATTAGACTTCATTATGTAATTAGGAACTGAAATTCCCGGCTCATGTTAGTAACAAGGAACGTGCTAAGAGTTTCCCTATGCAGGTAGGCGTGTTTTATGGATGAGCCAGAAATAGTAGTTCCTAATTACAAAATGCAGTGAAATTCTTTAAAAACCTACGGAAATCGAGTATATTCTCGGAATCGCACAACTTCTTCCTAAAAAATGTAGATTTTGAGACACTCATTTTAGGATTTGAGTGGGATAAGCTGAAAATGAGAAAATTCCTATCAATTTCACTTTTCACTACCATTTCATCCTCATAAGAATAAAAAAACCCATCACAAGAAACCCGTTCCCTCAGATTACTCAATTGACTTTTGAGGCTATGTTTACATGTTGGACCAGTCGATATCGATACAATCTCACCTGTTTGATGTATCGAATACAATCCATCGCGTGGGAACGTCTTGTTTTTCCTCCTTCCGTACGCCGATAAGTTTTAAAAATGCAATTCATGTTGATTATTACGACTAATTATTTTTCTTCTCTGTTCAGAGATTGTTCCCCGAGACCTTAATTGAATCAGTAAGAACGAAAACACACCAACTCGAAAAAATGAAAATAATCAAGACACACACAAAACTGCATAGTAAGTGTGGAAGTTAGTCTAAGAAAAAGATTTTTGGTGTCGAAAGACAAGTACTTAAGGACACTTTAAAGGTTCGATTTGAAACAGATGCCCTGACGTCAATGACCTTTATGAAAATTGACAATGTCTTTGATGACAATTGAGCACTTTCGAATTACAGAGTTGGTGTTTTTTCGTTCTCTCTGATTCAATTCCAGCTCAATGTCAATAATTCCCATTCCTTGCCCTCGCCAAATAATCATGTATCTATATGAATCCCGCTCCGCAATGTTTAAGTTCGTTAGCGTTGCATCGAGCTTTGAGTCATGCACTCTTGAGAGCGCAGTTGATTGTAAGCGATTTGCATGGTATGCGCCCCCCCCCCCCCCCCCGGAGGATGTATTTATTCTGTCCCGCGTGTCATTCATCCGAGCTTTTATTCACTATCGCCGGCTCCGGAACGAGAAAGGAGCCCAAGAATAGCAATTTAACGCTTCGCTAGTCCGCCCGGGCAAATGTGCAGTGCGGGTTGTGTAATCTGCCGTGTTGGGACAAAACGCCGTATGGAACTCCAGGCATTGCCAAATTTCCCTTGATGAAAGATGAAATATTTGGGAAAGTTTTGAATACTTTCTTCCCAATTTTTCGGACGGGTTCGTTTAGAGTACCTGTATAGCGAGAGTATGGACAGATCGCTTGATGGAGAGCTTAGGGCCCAAAAGTGCAGCCACTCTTCTGAGCAACTTCTAACACATGAAATTTCACTGCCAGCCTACAGATTTCAATTCTAACCAAGATGGCCAAGAATGTACATAAATGAGCGTTTTTTCGCAAAAATGAGTAAAATTATGCAAAAAGTAAGCCAATCACATGCTTTATAAACGACGGTTCGTAACAATTGTATTAATAAATCGCTCTGGATAATTGGAATTCATAGGTTGGCTGCATTTCTGGACCCTAACTTTATTCGCGGAGGCATCGGTGAGGGCCTGATGGATTTTCGGAGTTTCAAATCTGTCTATACTCTCGCTATACAGGTACTCTAGGTTCGTTCGCAATTAAATCTAAATTACCCGAAAATTTCAAGCAAATATATGCATAACGAACTTACGAAATGATGGACCACTAGACAAGGTACGAATTTAAGCAATCTGATACATGTTTTTTAACCAGAATTTCACGTAGAACACGATTCACACAACGAAAATTACTGAAAATAACTCCTAACGCAGATATCAACGTTTTTATTTCACAATGGTAACGAGGAGTTTGAACTGCCCGCTCACAAGAAACTCAAAGCTCTACGTGAGTGAAATCGCGCACTACAACGGTTTCAGCAAGCTTCTCAATCGAGCAATGTTCATTTCCCACCATGTGCTGTTCAAACTGTAAGCAATTTGCTAAAGCTGAGCCAAAGCGTCAAAATTGAGGTTGCCAGATTTTTAAATCGCAGATACTGTCATGATATAACGTTTAGCGCGCGATGCGAATCACGTAGAGCATTGAGTTTTCATGAGCGGGTGGTTTGAATTTACGCATCAAGAATCATTAAATATCTCCGTAAGGAGTAGATTTCGGTAATTTTCGTTGTGCGCATCGTGTTTTACGTGAAATTTTGATTAAGGAACATGTATCAGAATGCTGAAATTCGTACCTTGTCTAGTGGTCCATTATTCATCAGCGGAAGTTTGGCAACACTTGAATTTTCATACGGCATTTTTCCTTGGCGCGGTAGTATTCCCGACCGCTCGGATCCTTGATTCAGCATCCGAACTTGGGCTTGTTTTTACAGATGCATTTCATTTCATCGACTCAGCCAGGCGCACAGTGTATCGAGTCAACAGGAAAGGTCGGAAAAAATTTGGAGCCTTTACACGCTTATTACTCCGTTTAAACGGAACTTTGAGGTTCTAAAAAAGATTTCATTAGTTTTTCCATGAATTTTTCAACTACGCACACCCCCTGAAATTTAAAATGTGACGGAATAATCATAAAAAATTACAGTTTTAGTAAAAAATTACATGCCCGACCTCTCTAATTGACTCGATCCACTGTGCGCTACGGCCCGTCTGTTTCGTCTCTTGATTTTTCTGATTTTTTATTCGGCTCGTGTAGTGGCGTGGCGTGAATAATCGATTATCGATATCTCGCCATTTGAAGCTATGGTAAAGAATCGATTACTAACGTGTTCGCTGCGAACACCCTGATAATCGATCTATTTACATAGGTTTAAATGGCATAACGATCGATATATCGCAATTCACGCCACGCCACTGGCACTCGTGTTCCCGTTTTGTCGGGCACGCCTCATTTCTCCGAGTTGGCGCCCAGTAAAGCGAGTTAGAGGGAGAGGTCGAACATGATGTGAAATTTTAAAAGCTCATATCTGATACAATGTTATAATGTATAAGTTTAAAATAGCCGATTTTCCCGACCTTCGCTCCTTTCCGCTCGTATAGCTCGCGACCAAAACATTTCCCCAGCATGCGGTAAAGGGCTAGAGGGGATGCAAAGAGTCAGGAACAACAGATCAGTTTTTCATCAAAATAAAGAAATGGCTTTTTTTAAATCGGCCCAAACGTGAAAAAAAGGGGTCTTTTTTGAGCGTTTCGGCGCTTCGGAGGCGATAACTCGAGCTGAAGTTGACAAAACCCTATGATGTTATACATTTTCTGAAAGCTCTCGTCACGTTGAATACGCTCGTTTAAACCGCGTTTTCCAAAACTTCTTGGTTTCCGAGAAATGGATTCGCGAAAATTTTGCCGATTTTTAACTGTGACCCCCCGCCGCATCCCCCCAAAATTTTTTGGGGGGCTTGAAACTTTGGAAAAATATGGGGCATTGTTAGGAGAATGAATAGGGCAAGTCTCAAAGGTATCCGCCCCGAGCCCCAAATAGCCCGTTTTGCGCGTAGTCCTTTCCTTCCAAAAAAACCTTTCAATTTAAGTTGTGTCAAAATGAACATGTCGATATGCAACCTCCAAAAGAGTCCGGCAACCCCCCCCCCCCCCCCCCCCNAAATTTTACGTAAAACACGATGCACGCAACGAAAATTACCGAAATTAACTCCTTAAGAAGATATTTAATGATTCTTGATGCGTGAATTCGAACCACCCGCTCATGAAAACTCAATGCTCTACGTGATTCACATCGCGCGCTAAACGTTATCATGACAGTCTCGACGATATAAATATCTGTCAACCTCAATCTTGACGCTTTGGCTCAGCTTTAGCAAATTGCTTATAGTTTGAACAGCACATGGTGGAAAATGAACATTGCTCGATTGAGAAGCTTGCTGAAACCGTTAAAGTGCGCGATTTGACTCACGTAGAGCTTTGAGTTTCCTGTGAGCGGGCAGTTCAAACTCCTCGTTACCAATGTGAAATAAAAACGTTGATATCTGCGTTAGGAGTTAGTTTCAGTAATTATCGTTGCGCTAATCGTGTTCTACGTG